TAATAGCATGTGGGATTGGTGAAATAATTCAGTGATGTGTCTGCTGAGGAGGTGTTGCAAGAAAGAGTGGAAAGAGCTATCCCACCCTCCCTGCCCTACTCATGTACCCTCTGCCAACCTGACCCATGTGTTGTTGTGACCAGCTGATCTGGAGGTGTGTTCCAGGGGGTTTGACCTAGCCAACCACTTCCTGGAGTTCTGCTATGACTACCAGAACAAGGATTATCCATACTACTCTGTCCATATGGAGAACTACCCTTCCAAAGAACAACAGGTACTTTGTTAGCAATGGGAAGATTATTGTATTAGAGAGACAATGGAACCTTCTTTAATTCAAACCGCCATAAATCTCAACACTAACTTTATTTACATATTTTATCTTTCAAATCACCATCTTTTATTCAACCCCCTATAATTCAAAACTTATTTTAATTCCACCATTTCTGATAAGGCACAATTTGAATGTTATCAGCGTCATAATCAATTCTTTCTTAATCAATTCTGTCACTGTTTGCTTTGTGAATGCAATAAATACCCAAATATGGCCATTTCTCATAACCATCGGTGGTTCAGTGGTGGAATGCTTGCCTGCCACACGGGTGGCCCGGGTTCGATTCCCGGCCGATGTATTATTATTTTTTTTTTACAATTTTTAAAACTCATTTATATATTATACAAGAATGACATCCACGGCGCCAATTTATAATTGTAACGAATAGTATTTCAATAAAAGCATTTAATCGGGTAAAACCCTGGCATTGCCCGGGGTCATTCGGCTAGTAGATTATAAACACAAGGTAATAAGACCAAATCCAAATAAATAAATAGCGTGTGACGTTTCGGTAACAGTGTTGTTACCATCTTCAGACAAAAGTACTGAATGTGACCAAATAAATAAATAGTGTGTGACGTTTCAGTAACAGTACCATTCAGTACCTTTGTCTGAAGATGATAACAACACTGTTACCGAAACGTCACACACTATTTATTTATTTGGATTTGGTCTTACTACCTTGTGTTCCACCATTTCTCTTTCAAATTGCCATCTTCAACTCAAATGACTGTTTTTTTAACTTCAGTCAGTCTACTTACTTTAAAATTTAACTGACTCAACACCTCTTCAAGTGTTGACAACAAAAATTAACAGTGGATCTTATAATGAATTGATAATCAGCTTAACCAACTTTACTTCATCCAAAAATTCAGATCCCCTGGGGTGTTGAAGAAGTTTATTTATACAGTGGGAAACCCCCTATTATAACATCACACAGGCATTGATAGTCATGTTGTTGTTGTTGTTGTTGTTTCTTATCCCCTTGTGTAAAGATTACACAAATTCCATGAGTTCATGCTCCTCGAGCTGTTTTATGATGAGCAGCGGCCTCTCCCAAAGGTCCTGTTTAGTGCATCTAATGCAAGCCAAAATGTGTTCTGGAGCTGCAGGTGCCAAGCTACATTTTGGGCAAGTGGGGTAGATTTTGTTGTTATTTTCTATCTTCAATGGCTTGATAGTCATGTAATCATGGTGGATTGTTAGCGACTGATTTTACTGTAAATAAATATACATACACACACACTACATACTTACACATGTAGAAAGTATATGTATGAAGCAGAAGAGCATGTACTTCTCTAAAAAACAACTAGAATATAAAAAAAATCTCTTTTA